GTTTCTCTCTTCTCTCCACAGTCTCCATGGTCGGCACATGCAGGCGAACCCAGAACCTCCAAAGAAGAGCAGCGATAAGAGCAGGAAGATCAGCCGCAAGCCGCTGGCTGCCAAGAACAAATAAAGGAGGAAGTGGATCAGAACCTTCCTCCTGTATGGCTCCATCTGGTTCTGGTTCTGCTCATCTTTCTCCATCAGTTGTTTGCTTCTTCATGTTTTATGCAGCTTTTCACGTTTAATGTTCACCCAGACTTTCTAAGACTTTTCTCCAGAACCGTGGAACCAGCAGCTCCACCATTCTTTACTATTCTAGCTCAGCTCAGGCAGACTGAAGAAGAAGGTCAAAGGTCACTGCTGCTGTTAAACATCTGGATGTTTCCAGCAGCAGGAAGTTCGTCCAGGAGCCCCTGGTCCCCAGGGAATCCTGCTTTTTAAGGATCCCTGGTCCCCAGGGAACCCTGTCCCCCAAGGTCCCCTGCTTTCCAGGGACCCCTGCTGTCCAGAGAACCCTGTTTCCAGGGAACCCTGCTGTTAAAGGACCCTTGATCCCCAGGGACTCCTGGTGTCCAGGGACTCCTGCTGTCCAGGGACCCCTGCTGTTCAGGGACTCCTGCATCTTTGATCTTGGGGCCCCAGTCATGACTTACTGCATGGCTGATTAACAGGCTGGTGCGAAGGAACCATTGGACTCTAGAGGTCCAGGGGGACAGATGGAGGACAGGCGGAGGACAGGTGGGGGACCACTGCTGTAAGGCCTTAAATCATGATGTTGGTCCTTGCTAACATTTCCTCCTTAAAGAGCTGTGGGCCCCAGAGGGCCTCCAGTGGGGGCAGGTCTGAGCTGCATCCGTTTCTCTCTGCGCTCTGTAACCATAACAGCTTCTCATCGATTTAGATCAATTCACTTTGATCTTTTTTTTATTTAATCTGCTGTCATCATAATTGTTGCTCAGAATAAATGCCTTAAATCCATGTCTGGTTTTTGTCTGATAAACTTTCTGCTGCTGCTTTTTACAGGAATATTTTTCCAGTATTTTAATGTTTGGTTCATTTTCTCTTCTGACCTTAAATGATCTGATCTGGGATCAGTCGCTGTTCCTCTGAGATTACAGCTCAGATAGGGCAGGTAATCCTCACATAGCGGGCCCCGGGGCCTTACCTCTCCTGCTAACAGAGATATTAATCCAATTATCTGGATCCCATCAGCAGAACTCCTGACGCCTTCGGTTTTCCATGATGATGTCAGCGAGACGCCGTTTGGAAATGGTCAGGAACACCCAGACTGGGATTCATCTTCCCAGTTCAAAAAGCTTTTGGTTTCCATGGTGACCTCCAGTCCTATCAAATCATTACCATCTTGTTCCAGAGACTCAGAAATCAGTTGATCTACATATTCTAGAGTTTCTTTCATAACTTGGCGTCTAAAGCATCTATTTTCATAGAGTTCATTCTTTTAGTTTTGGATTCATCTCAGACTTTTCCAAGGACACAACGAGTCCCAGGCCGACCGGAGGCCATTGATTTCCTCTCAGTGATTTATAGGCGGGCAGCGATGGGACAGCCCAGACTCTGAGCAGCTCAGTGAATCAGCTGCCTCTAACAAACACATTCTATACTAAAAGATCTGGATCTGTGTCAGAAACAGTTTTTATTATTTTAGTTGTTTTTAGAGCGGACTATGGAGGCGAGGACTGCAGTTAATCTACCAACCAATCAGATCAGTGGATTTATAGGAATAACTTTATTGGATTTAAATAGATGAATATAAAAATAAACAGAATTGATTTATTCTTAGTAAATCTAAAGCTCCTTCTAGAGTCGTGATGCTGAACATGGAGCAGCTCTGCCGGGGGGGTTTGGGGGTTAAAAGATTTCCTCAGAACTTCATTTCCTTATTTAATAGATTTAAAAACCTCTTCTGGTGGACGAGGTGCAATAGGAAGGATATTTGCTGATGACGTTTTACTTTGGGACGTGTGATATTCTATGTTCTGCTGAAGGAGGCTGCATGTTGGAGCAGAAATACCTCCCTGTTCACCTCGTCTCCAAGGACAGAGCAGACTGGACTTCTAGAGGAAGCTGAGGTCCTTCAGATGCTGCAGACCTTCTATCAGTCTGATCTCTGCCTCCATCATCATCATCATCAGGGCTAATGACTCAAAGAAGCTCAACCAGCAAATAAAGGCCGGTTCTGTTCATCAGGCTGTTAGACACCAACAGAGGGTCTTCAGTCAGAGGCTGAACCAGATCTGCTGTAGACAGACCTCTACAGGAGATCCTTCCTCTCTACAGCATCAACATCTAGAACAGCTGGATTAAAATAACCTTATAGATAAATTATATTTAAACGTGGATGAAATAGTTGATAGGCGTGTTTTATGAAAGTTAAACCCACAATGATGACAGGAATAAAAAAAAAATCCAAGAAAATGAGCAAAAGAAAGTCAGACGCTGCTTTTCAGCCATACTTCAACGGCATGACTTTAGAAAATAAAACATGGAAAAGCCTTTAA